AATTGCCTTGGTTGTTGGCACTGTCGGTTCTATCTGTGGGGGTGCCCACACGATTGCCTCCGGGGCCCTGTGAGAGAGCGCCCATGGTCCGACGGTTGCCGAACCGACCCACACAGGCAGAAGAGATGACACCAACACTCGATCAGAATGCCGTTTCATTAAAGAATCCACTGCCGGGACTCGAACCCGGGTCGTACGGGTGAAAGCCGACCCACACAGGCAGAGGAGATGGGCCAACAACCGATCAGAATGCCGTTTCATTGAAGAATCCACTGCCGGGACTAATGTTGGTATGCATGTTGGTATCTATCAAGTGTTGTATGGTCTGCCATTTCTTTGTTGGTATTGTCAGCGAGTGGTTGAGTAGTTCGTAACCGAGTATATTGGTACAGTGTATTTGGCTTTTCTTTGGGTTGACCTTGAAGCCATAAGTCGTTAGGTGTTGTTTGGTATGTTTGTATCTGTAGTTTAACTCTCGGTGGTTGTCGGCAGCGATGAAAATGTCGTCTTGATAGAATCTCAAGTGTTCAGCAAACGGTATATCCTTTAGTATAGTTCCCATGGTAGCATGAAAATGTTTTGGTGCGTTGGTTGCTCCCATGGGCATGCAGTTATAGGCGTAATACTTGCCGCGGTGTTCGAATGCGTAGGTACCGATCTGGTCCGTGGTTAGTGGTATAGTATGAAATGCCTTAGATAGGTCAATCTTAGCTAGTAGTGGTTGTTGTGCTCCCCACGTGATAATTGGCCAGCAGCTCTGTAGGTTTGGGAAGCGTCCGGCATCGTTGACATACGGAAGTAGTGGTCGGCAATCGTGGGTAACTCTATCCTTCACGACGCGTGTCGGTAGTGTAAAGTTCGGTCGGTTCGGTAGTGGCGTAATCTTATGTTGGTGTAGTAGCGGCTTTAACCATGAGTCAATGGTTTGTAGCTCTTCGGGTCTGGTTGGTAATCGTCCATGGTATTGCGGAAGATCGTTGCGCTCCACCTTTTCGGTGAAGTGAGGTAGTGTCGTGTACTTAGGCCTCCTTGCGAGACCAAGCCCCCTTTCGAAATCTTCTTGGCTCCGGCGCACGAGTTGGGTACAGGTGGCTTTGCCGAAATCCTAGTTACCGCCACGGCCTCTGAATGATCCACGGCCTCGGCCTCTGCCTCGACCTCGGCCGCGTCCAGGTCCAATCGAGGGCATAGCCCCATTCTGCCATAGTTGCAGTCCTCTAACAATGCCAGCTTTTGACACAAGTGCGATAATGTTGGCAGTGTCTAACGCAGATAGGTTTAAGTAGTTCTGAGCATTGCAGTAGTTGAGGCGCTCGACGAATTCCTCGAATCGTCCTGACTGTTTGAGTGCTTCATAACATTGTGCACGTAGTTGGTTTGCGAGTTGTAACTTCTCGACGGCGGTAGTAGTTGAAGCGGTCATAGTCGTATATGTTGCGTTCAGTATTGAGCGGTAGTCAGCACCCACCAGGGTCATGTCGTAATAATAATAATAAATAAGTTGAGTTCACAAGTTAGAGTCGTTCAAATGCAAGAGATCGTTGAAACAAATATAGTCAAGTTAGCTTTTCGAAAAAGGATAAAATTTTTAAATGTTTACAGTTTCATGTTGGAGACGGCGTCTCCCGGTAAATAATAAATCGTGGTCCGGAGGTCTCTTGCGGGTATTAATTAATTCTTGAGTTAGCAATTGTGGGCGAGAAATATAATTGGCCGTTGGTGTGCGGCTTGATTCTTGTGTGCGATAGAATCTATCGTTGGCCCACAATCGATTTTCTGAGGTATATCTCTTCTTGTCTATTTTTAACTTGTCGGTAGGTTGCCTATTCGGTGCATCAGCTGGGTTGAACTTTCCGTGAATGTGGTAGTATGTGACTTTATTGTCAACCGTCTTAAGTAGTCTGAGTATTTTGTTAGCGAAATAGTAGACGTCGCCTTTGTCGTCTGGTTCCGGTTTGTTGAGTGCCGTATTGAGTAGTGCGTTGT